ATTTAAAATTTTTTTTTAACAAAATTATTAAAATATATTTTAAAATATATTTTTTACCTAGAAAGTATATAGCTAAAGTTAATATTTGAAATTTTATTTTAAAAATTTTATTTTAAAAAAAATTTCAGGGCAGATTTGCAGGAGAAACGGTTTAAGAGATAAATATATTTTTACCAAACGCGCATTTACTAAAGGCTGGCTGTATTGAATTTAAAAATGTTTCTCTTATTTCGAAATTACGTACATAGGCATATTTGAAATAACGCACAGGTAGATGTTATTTCATTTATACGGTATCAGGCTTCAAATACTTTCTCACATGGCGATTAGAATTAATAGTTGTATTCCTAACTAGCTTGTCCTTATATTCCTGCTTAGCCGTCTTTTCAATATGTTTGAATTCTCATCAGCCTGGTTTTTATTTTATTTTTTCGTTAAATTCTTAAATTCATTCGATTTTTTTTTTTTTAATTCATGATCCACCAGAGAACCAGTGAAAAAACATAGTAAACTTTGGGGATATGTTTACTATATAAATTTTGTCTTTTTTGGAATCTGGAGTTTCCCAAAGGATAACCCAATTTTTAAAGTTGTATAAGAGAGAATTTCGAGCATAATAGTAGTTGAAATGTTAAAATTGGTCTAGTGAATCGTGAGATATGAGCATTTTTATCTTCGTGACTATATGTTTGTTTATACAAAGAAGCTGTGAAGACAAAAATTCCCATATCTCATGATCCATTGGGCTGATTTTAATGTTTCAACTACCATTATGCTCGAAATTCTCTCTACAACATTTGTTAGAAGTTGAAGAGAGGGTTTTTTGGTAAAAAATCGATTTATCCTTTGAAAGCTCCAGATTCTAAAAAAGGCAAAAAACAATAATAAATTTCTCCATGGTTTACTATGGTTTTCACTGGTTCTCTGACGGGTCATGAATTAATTAAAATCGGATTGGCTTATTTTCTTTATTTTTTTGTTAAAAATTTGCACTTGGAAGTTTGTCAATATCGATATTGATATAATACTATATAAATGCATGACAAATCAAAACCTTATATAGATAGTAAAAATTTGCTACTAATAAAAATTTTTAAGAATCTAATTAATTTTCGCCAAATTTTTGTGAAACATAGATTGTATTTTCTATTTTTAGTAGTAAAATTTTTAAAAGCTATATTATTTTAAAAAAATATACTTTCTTATATAGCTAAATTTGCTGCGGTGGCTTCACATTTGCTGGGTTACACAAAAAAAGAATAGTAAAAATATTTCTAAAACATCATATGATAAATGATCTACGTATCCTCTACCTTTAAAGTAACTGGTAGTTTTTTGTGCAACTACAATAAAGAAATCTTTTCCCGAATCTTTAGAAATATTCGCCAGATTCGATCCGTGCGGAGCACTGAGCGAAATAATGCGCAGGGGTTGTTTCGAATAATGGCCCGAATTAAGCTTAATTTAGGCCAAAATTCGAAATTACACCCTTGCGCGTTATTTCATGCTTATACGGGTATGTATCTGTTATTAATTTCTTATTTGTCGATTCTTACAACTTTTGATTTTCTCGTAAATTTATATAAAAGTATTGATTATAAATTTTAGCGCACCGGCAGGAATAAAAGGTAATCCCAGTTTTATGAGGGCCCTTCGGGCTCTCATAGCCCCAGTGGAAAATAAGGGTGTTAGTTATTCTTTATTTTATATGATTTCAAGATGGCGGATCAAAATAATTTGTAGTAGTGATTTCTTTTTATTTTTCGATCTACAAATTTCGCATCTTCTTACAATACGTATTGATAAACGAGATCAGTATGTTATAATTTTTTAAATAGGTATTTTACATCCTCTACTATAATTTAGTCATTCAACTATCCAAATCTTCTGTAATTTTTTAAAATATTTATTTTAAAAACCATTCAGTACAATCTGCTATTGGGTATTTTATACATTTTATTATACTCTTGCTGTCGGAATGGTCATCGGGATAAAACCAGTAAATGCCATAAAAATATTCAAGTTTATGGCCATCACTACGTACTCTTTGGAGGTTTACATTAAACTAAATTAGTAATTCGAAATAAATTGAAAAATTCATTGATAAACAAGGTTCGCGTGGTACAGGATGCAGTTGCAGTAAGTTAGGTGAGAATATAGGAAGATATGGAGTCTTTGCCTTGAAAATGACCCTACGGTATCATGTACCGTAAGGTCATTTTCAAGGCAAAGACCCCATATTATTATATAATAAAGGAATAATAGGGAATATGATTTACAAAGTAAGTTCAAAAGGTAAATTTAGTAGATGTGGATATTTGATTAAAGAAAATTTACTACTTAGCATGAATTTGAATTGGTTATTAAGATCGAATAAGGTATACGTATCAGGAACGTGGTTAATGTAAAGTTGTTTAAGTGAACGGTAAGGTTTTTTTTTATTTAGGAAAAGTTAATGTATGATAAGTATTGGTTGGTGATTTGTGGTGGATTAAGGTAACTGGTAAATTAGAAATAGTAAAATGGGTGAAATGTTGAGGGATAAGTGTATAATAATAAAATAAGTGTGTCTGTAAAAAATAAAAAGAGGAGGTAGGTTATATGTTGTATGAATGCATCTATTTGCGCATCAATTTCCATCAGCACATAATTACCGATTTTTTAAGAATTAGGGTCAGGGTGCCCGTATTAAGGTTAGATTAGTTTCGGATATAGTAGTTTATATAGGTAAATTTGCCTTCCCGACATTTTTAATTAATGCTTCACGATAGGTTTAGACTACTGTTTTCTATATTTTTTGCGTTTTTCACATTTTTCGCTTTGTTTTGCTTCGATCCGGGATGATCAAAATCCCTATATTTGATTGGTCTATCATCACGTGCTAATGGGTTTGATGTATACTTATTTACTAGTTCATTTTAGATAATTTTACTATCACCTCGATAAGACGATTTTAACTTGCTAAAATCAAATTATAAAATCCCAAAATATTTAAAAACTTGTCTGCTTGAATAAAATATTAACTAAAATTAAAAAATATATACAAAAAATTTAACTAGTAACCGATTTTAATTGGTCAAACGTAAAAATTATTTATATTTCAAAAAATTTTTTATTAGATTACAATAAAATCAACTTTATTAAAGAAATGTTCTTTGTAAAATCACAAGATTCTAGATCAAGCATCTGAACTACTATCTTCCACTTTAACTCTTTTAGGAGATGGTTGTTGTTCTACTGATTCATTAGTATCAACTTGGTTATTATTTTCTACTGATTCCGATATATCCGTCACTTCTTCAATGTTTTTATTAACAGGGGATTGTGGTACAACCTCAACATTAGTATTAGAATTATCAGATGTCTGGACATCTTGCATTTCAGTTACTTCTACATTATAAAAAATAAATATTAATATGGAAGTTGCTTATTTTAACCTGAGGTAAAATCACCGGGATGCTATTCTCAAAAATGTACTAAGTAATTAAGGTAGGTATTCTAAATAAAAATGTTCAGTACCCCGAAGCCTTAAAATTTGGACTATTATACCCAACCCCTCTCTTTGTCTCAAATGCACCTTAACCATAAAGGCGGTGATTGGTGATTTTACCTCCGTTTAATATCGTTATTTTCTATTAAAAAATTTAATAAAATAATTATTCCTACATACCATTTCCGGTTGATGTATCTTCAGAATCGTCTCTAGAACGCTTACGTCCAATTATTTCATGAGAACTATTAGTAACCTCTGTAGAAGCTGGCTGTATTACAATTACTGGTTCGGATGATTCGACAGCACTCGTTTCACTGGAATGAGATTCAGAAGTAGCTAATGTACGTGCAACTGGTTGCTGTTCCTCTATTGGTGGTGGTGTCGATACAACAACTTGAACTGGAGTTATCTTCGGTGATTGCGATACAGTTAGTGGAACGCGATTTCTTTGTAATTTTACTGGTGGCTTCTCTTTTGGCACATTCAGTGTAACAGCAGGTACAGAAGGAATAATTACAGCAACTTGTTTTAAAGTTGGTGACGTAGCGGCACCTATCGTTCCATCATTAGCGTCTGCGTTATTAGATGACTGAGGAAGCTCCTTGGTCTCAATAGCATTTGCAGAAACGTCTATTGAAGGCGGAATAATCGTTAAGGCTGTTGATGTTGGTTGTGAAGCAGTAGGGGGTTTCGTTATGTTTACTTGAGGCAAAGTGGAAGGTGGTACAGTGGAAGGTGGTAAGGCGGGAAGCGTTAAAGTGGGAGGAGGCAAAGTTGGGGGAGGCAGAGCGGAAGGAGGCGTAGATGACGTTATTTCCGTTGTATTCGGTACAGTGTCTGATTTTGGAATATTTTGTTGGGATGTTGTTTGTTGTTGTTGAAACTGGTTTATCTGATTTTTTAACTCTGCCTTTTCTGCCTCCAACTTTTTAATTTTACTAGAGAACATCGATTCTTGTGCCTTGTACCGAAGATAATCTGAAGTTTTCTCTTTCTCATCTTGTAACTCTTTCTTTAACCCTTCGATTTGTTTTGTAGACTGTTGTTTCAACTCCTCTAATTCTTTAGAAGCATCTTGATGTTTTTGCTTCAATTCCTCTAATTCTTTAGAAACATCTTGATGTTTTTGCTTCAATTCCTCTAGTTCTTTCTTCGTTTGTTCGGCTTGAGCTAAATTTTTAAAGCGACTTTGCATGTTACTCACTCTTTTCCGCAGATTATCGTGGTTAGTTTTTTCTTTTGTAAGCTCTTGAGTAAGTGTCGCTTTATCTTTTTCCAAGTTTGCCTTATCTTGTGTTATAGCAGATTTTTCTTTCTCCGTTTGATCAAGCTTATTTTTGATTTTTACTGCCTGACTTTTAATAATTTCACACTTTCGTTTTAAAAATATAATGAATAAATAAGTAAATTGAATTTAGTGATACGGAAGTTCTCAACCACAAAAATGCACTTGATAACTTGAAATTCATAATTGTACGATATAGTTTCATACCTGTTTCCTTGCTAAAGTAAAATCGTTCCGCAATTTACCATTTTCAGCTTTAAGTTTATCACGATCTTCCGTGGTGGACTTCAAATTATCTTTCAAATGTTGCAATTCGGTAGGATCACTGATCTGTTTTCCAAGTGAAGAACATAAATTAGCTATTATTTAACGATAATTTCTGAATAAAATTTAAGTACATACTCCATATTTCTGCAAAACGGTGTGGAATCGGTTTTTCCATCGTTCATTGTCTTCTTTGAGTATCTTCGTTTCTTGAGCGGAACTATCTCGGTCGAGTTGTAGACTTTTGATTTGTACTATTTGATAAATTTTTTTTTAAAAAAATAAGACATTACCATTAAAATAATTTACACCGATATGTCTAATGATTACCATCTAGTGCTTGCACTTTTTCCTCTGCTTCTTTCAACGAAGATTCCGACGTGGTAACTTGTTTTTCTAGTCGTTCACTTGCAGCTCTCAATGTCTGATTACTTTCCTCAAGGAGTTTTAATTGAATATTTTTTTCTGAAAGTTCTGTTTGCAGTTTCTCCAAAGGACCTGTCTTTTCTGCTTGCTCACGTTCCTAAACAAACAATGTATAGCAATATAGTTAGCTCGATATGAAAGTATTTATGTTTAAAATGAGGTACGAAAAAATTAATACCTGGATAAGCAATGCGCGCACTTCATCCAATGACTTTTGAGTATGTTCATATTGAGCCCTATATCTTTCGGCTTGTTGTGCGAATGCTTCTCTTTGAGTTTCTGCCTTTTCTTTTTCCATACGCAAAAGTGAAATTATTTGATCTTGGGAAATCGTCTTTCCAGCATCGGTATCAAAGTAGTCGTGAAGGGTTTTATTACTTTCTTCAAGTTCTTTACATCTATAACATTTAAGGTAATTAAAATAATAATTCGATAATTCATGAAAATATCTATATCTGTTTACCGTTCAAGTGTCTTTTCCAATTCTTTTTCGAGTTTATCCTTTTCACTATTCCAAATTTCTTCTGACCTTTGTAATTGTATCTAGAAAAATTATAATGGATTTAGTTTAAAAAGAAACATGAATATCACAACGCACATCAATAGCACGTAAATATAACCTTAAGTTGGTCAAATTCAGATTTCAATTGTGCATGTCTTGAGTTTAGAGCGAGTATAGACTGGGCATCCTCAGCGTGAACAAGCACTTCACGATTATATTTATTTTGTGCTTCTTCTAATAATTTTTCCTGTTTCGTCATTTCTTCACGGAGCTGATGCTTTTCATTGTTAGAATTATCACGAATTTCATTTATCATCTGTTCTAGTTTTATTACTTCATTACGAGCTATTGTAAGCTCTTGGTCTTTGCTACGCAGTTCGTCAATCTTTTGATCGAGTTCTTCCTTTACCGGGTAGAGCTCATCTTGAAGTTTTTTTATCGAAGCCTAATAACATAAAATTAGATTTAATCTTAAATATCAGCAGTTTGATTCATTTATAAAAACTTACTAGATTTGCCTCCCGTTCTTCATCAGTAGTAGATTTCAATTCGTTGTGCCTTTGTTCGTAGTTTTTTAATTCAGTTTGATATTTTTCGTATAAGTCTTTATATGTTCGAGACTCATCACGTATATTAACGAGTTCCTTTTCCTTAGTTTCTAATTCAGTTCTAGAAAGAAATTATATATAGTAAAGTTAGCATTATAATTTTCAATGATGATCCGAATTAACGTTAAACATACTTTATTTTGACAATTTCGATGCCTTGATCGCTTGCTTGGAAAACGGAGAGCTGGTTTTTCAGCTCCTGAATTTCTTTCGTAAGTGTTTCAGTTTCCGTCACACGATTTCGAATTTCCCCTTCAAGTTCTGTAATCTTATTTTGCAATGCTTTATTTGATTCAACGAATTTACTATGCTCTTCAGTTGACTTTTTTAAGGCATTGGAATATTTTTCACTCATAGAGACGAGTTGTTCTTGCAAATTGTCACATTTTGCCTGAGCAGCTAATAATTTTTCTTGCGTCACTTTGAATTCACTTTCTATGCGCTCTTTCTCTTCCGAAAGGTTCTGGACATTTCGTGCCAAATTTTCAGCATCACCCTTTGAAGCTATAAGATCATCCATTTCTTTGTTGAATCGCTTTTGTGATTCCTCCCACTTAATTTGTTGACTACTAAGATCATTCTTCAAATTTGTAACTTCGACATTCAGAAGAGAGTTTTCGTCAATAGCCTTAAAAAATAAAAAGCAACAAATTAATATAGTCTTAACACAAATCATTTATTTAGTTAAAGTAATTAATAATATTATTACTTTAGTCATTTGCTTTTCCATCTGTTCATTCAATTTTTGGATTTGCCTTAAAACTGATTTAGTATTTTGACACTCTTCTTCCTTTATACTTAAATGTCCTTGAATAACCTTGTACCGCTCTGTATTTTTAACATTAAATAGATTAATATGTAGTTTTAATAATACTGTAATAAAATGATAACATTCGTACCTTCCCAACTTTGTCGATCATACTTGTATTGAAGTTGCTCATGATGAAGCGTTGACAATTCTTGATTCGCTTTTTGAAGACTTTCATCAAGAGTTTTCATTTCTTGCAGTGAAATTTCAAGTCGAGTCTGAGAATATTATATAGGCAGGTAATTGATTATTACTGAAAAATCTTGATATAATATATATGTTGCAACAAAATAATAGCACAATACCTTAAGATCGGCTATTTCTGCTTCGTAATCACGTCCACGGGTACTAAGAGTTGCCGGAATCGATCTTATAGAAGTGTTTCCATCTTGGATACTACTGATACTGCTAACACTTCCTCGTAACGTCAGTTCTTGATGTAATCCACGCTCTCGTTCAAGCGACTCAATTTGCGAACATAATTGTCGCTGTCGCATTTGAAGACGAGAAATTTCTTGTACTGCTGATTGATTTTCCGAGTCTTTTAGTGTGATCTGATCTTGTAACACTTTGATTTGATTTTCAAGTGTTGAGATCTTTTTCATTAAACTCTTTTTCTCGGCTTTTAAGTTGAAGCTTAGTCTATAAAGACTATCAACGTCGTATGGTTTATTATCTTCATCAATATCCATCTTAGGTGAACTTGGAGTGCCTCCTCGAAATTCATCCACTTGACGTATTAATATCGAATTATGTTTTATGTATTCTTCTTTTTCTATTAATTATAACAACGCAGTTAATGATTGTTTGACAAAATAATCTAATCTAAACTTGTGTAATAATTTAATTCATATGCGACAATACCGTTCTGCAGTTGATTATTACGGTCTGTTATCTGTACATTTTCAGATTGTAAATTGGTTACCTAAATTAATGTTTAAAAAAATGCTTAGAATTTATCTACTAAGACAAAAATTGGTCGAGCAAAATACTTTTATACCGATTGTTGAAGTTGTTGAATCTCTTCATGGCACGTTCTTAATTGCTCTGAAATGGCTTGATTTTCCGCAACCATTTGATTATACTCCACCGTTCTTTGATGAAGAAGCGGGGTCTTTTCAAGCGCAAATTTTGGATAAGTATATTTTAATAGCATCAATAAAAAGGTTGGCTACATGTATTTTAATAAAAAGATTGAACGATAATTACATAATTTTCGAGTTCTTTATTGAAAGTTGTTAGTGCTTCAGTTAGCTCACGATTCCTTCTTCTCTCCTGTAATAATTGCTCTTGAAGTTTAGAGTACTCCGAATACTACGAGATAGATGTTATTGGATTTAGTATTTATATAAGATAACATCAAAGATGATAAACACGTAGAAATTTAATTATACCATCTGTACTATAGATTTTCCCTTGGATTGCAATGCCATGCTAACGGCACTTCCCGGAGAAACTGATGACACAGATGATATTTGGCTCAAATGTTTATTTTCATCCTCTAACCGCCGAATATCCTCATTCAGTTTTTCTATTTCTGACTCAGACTAAATATATATATTTTTTTAAAAAAAAATTAGAACATAAGATAGACGCAATAGTGTAATGTTTAATGTTGAATTACCTGAGAGAGTTTATTATTTGCATCCGATAAAGAATACTGCAGATCAGCAATCTCTCCTAGAAAATATGGCTGCGTCAGAATACGCACTTTTAATATGTAGTACTATTTTCATATGCATATTTCTTACTTTGTGCCCGATTAATTGCCTCTTTATCTTCTTGTTGGCGTTTTTCATATATTTCATTCAATCTCTTTAAAGATTGCCCTTCAGCCATGACTTTATCTATTACTTCCTTGTGAAATCTTTCCTTATCTTCTTTTTCTATATTTAATCTTTGATTTACAACAAGCTGTTCTTTGTAAGCAAGCTGGAATTGATTCGCTTGCTGTCGAGCCGTATCGTGCTCCATCGCTAGTTTTTCAACAGTTCCATTGAGATTATCGATTTCTTTATTCTAAAATTAAATGCCTTAAGCATAATTGAATCAATTCAGAAATTCAGAATAAAAATTTATATTGCCTTAACCCCACCTTACTCTCTGTTGTGTTTCTTGTCAAAGCTTGCCAATGCATCAAATCTTTCTCCATTGAAGATATTCGATTTTTGAGTGACTCATTTTCCATATCTGCAATCGTTACTTTATTCTAATGTAAGTAAAAGATTTCAGGAATTATTAAACTTTCTTTTTTAACCATTCAATCCATATCAACAAACAGAAATAACTCTACGAGACTGCGAGATCATAAGATTTTCCTAGCAAAGATCCAAAATTATACTTGCCCTCCATTGGTATTCAGTCTTTTTGACTGATTGTAGTTCATTTTGAAGATCAAAAATTTGTTGTTGATATTGTGATCGTAAAACTGCCACTTGCTCATATGCCTCTATTTAAATATATATAAAAAGCTTAGCATTCCTAATTTTTTACTTCTAAATATAGTTAGGGTTTACTAAGCCAACTGATACCTTTTGTTTGATTCAGTTCTTGATCTTTGTTTGTGATTAGAGCAAGTCTACTTGCTTTTTCTTCTTGTAACGCCATTTCCATTCGTGCTATCTCAAAACGGATATTATCAGCCTCCTCATTCGCAGTTTTACAGTCATTAAGAGCTTTTTGTTTTTCTTGTTCTGTAAAAAGAAAAATAAACCGTCATGCTCTCTTATAATAACGTTATTTTATGATTTTAAATTACCACATCGCTCGGCAAGTTGTTGGTACTCATTTAACCGTTGCTTTTGGCTTTCATTGATTACTTGAAACTCCCGACACCGCGTTTGTGATTGGTGTAGTTGTTGCTCTGAGTAGCATAAAAGGTTAATTTAATGAAAAATTACAAGATCTTTAAAAAATAACTCGTTAAAACCTACCGTATGATAAACGAACAAGTGCTAGTTCTTGGCGTACTTGAATAAGTTCATCTTCCGTTGCCATTTATAATTTTGAATATTTGAAATAATTTGAAATAAAAAAAATAAAAAAAAGGTTTTCTAATAATATCGGAGACTTGACGTTGATGTTTACCAAAAATGAAACAAGCAGGATCACGCATGACAATTGATCCGCTCATTATAGAATAGATTCTGATTGGTCTGTATAATATAACACTAGAACTCCGGACCAAAAATAATTGTAATTCATTAATTCTTACCAAAATTTAATCTAATATTCCGGTGTTCCGAAACAAAGTATATAGTCAAGAGGCTGTCGTCATTATTGGCCTTGATTCTCTCTTTCTTGCCTAAGTTACAGGCTCTCAAAATTCCGTCTACTTTTTACCTTATTCACTCATTTCACCAAATTAAATCTAAGCATAATGAAGCAGAGTTCTGATATAGGCACAAGAGATTCTAGGTATTTAATTAAAATGAATTCTTTTTTCTTTAATGCTACCGTTTATTAAATATTCCCCATTTTTAGGCGAGATCGCGATGACCGTGACTCTCGTGACAGAGAAGGATCGATTGATTATAGAAGGCATGTAAAAAAAGCCAAAGTTTTTGGACTATTCTAATGATTTCTTGCAAGCAAAGATGTAATTCGTAGCTCTACATTTTATAAGATTTTCGCTAAAAGAATTTTTAATTTAGACGAGAGCGTGAGGAAAGCGATGAACGTGAAAGGCAAGGAATAAATATGTTTAGAAGGTATAGTGTAAAAAGTCATTTAGCAGATATTTTAAAATTCTTGAAGGTTTCTATAGGAATTATATTCTCACCAAATTATTTTATTTTAGACAAGAAGAGTTATATGGAACACCATTAAATCGAAGGTATTTATAAAAGCAATAACAATCAACTTGAGGAAAAAATTTTATTGGACTATTACTTTGATCCAATGCCTCATTTTAGAAAAAGCAATTTTAACAATTATAATTTTTTAACTGAAATAATTCAATCCAAATTGACAAGCATGAAATATATTTTTAAATATCTTTCAATATTACGCTGTATAGTACTCAACGACGTGAATTTGATGAATTTGGTCGAGCTCCAGGAGAAAGAATTTTATATAATGATCGCAGAAATAATAATGACATAAGGCGTGAAGGCATAGGCCGCCAGTTAGGTCCTAATATACGTGACCATGAAGTAAGTATTGTATGATTTTATATTTAATTTATTAATTAAATAATTAAATATATTTCTTATACGACATTTTTATGATTTAATAAGTATGATGACCGAAATCCAAGTCGTAGGGGTCGATATCGTCCACATGATAATCCTGGTCAGAGGGATTATTTTCCACATCATCGCATGTATCATTACAGAGATGATTGGGGGGATCCTCGTACAATACCAAGAAGCCATGAAAGAAAAAGACCGGAACATGATAGGCCTAGAGATAGAGAGCGAAATGATCGTGACAGAAATGCTTCAATATCCCGCGAACGTCAATTAAGTCGTATTGGTGCATCATCACGAGATTGTGCAAACCAATATATTCACAACATGAGCGGATTTGATTATCAAGAATTAGAAACACGACCAAAATTTTCTTTTGGATTTAGTAATAAAGACATAGAAAGAGATGAATTTCAAGGTATAGGACCTCCATACGGTAATAGGCGTAATAGAAATAGATCAACTTCCCCCTCTCCTAGATCTTCGGTAACAAGTTCTTCATCTTATTCGTATCGAGCAAAATCACCAATACATAAATCGGATAATGTAAAATCAGAAGAGCTGGCAGGTTTATCACCAACAATGTATCATAATCGATCAAAACCGCCGTCAATTAAATCAGCAGCGTCACCACGTTTCGATATAGAACAAACAACGTCTGTATATATGCGACTTCAAAATCATGATGAGAAAACATTAATCGATGATAATTCATTATCAATTAGAGAGAAAAATCAATACTCGCCTGAATATAACACTGAGGAAATAGATTTCAATAGTGAACACAATGAACGTATTCAGGAAGGAGAAACTTCTAGTCAATCAAACAGTGGGAATGAAAAAGGCGGCTGGACTGGTTGGCATAGCCTAGAAAGGAAGGAAGCTGATCAAAGCCAAAAAATGGAAGAATCTAGAGTAATAAGTTTGTCACCAGAAAGGGATATTAATTCTAGGGATCAAGAACAGGTACAACATTGTTCTCAAAACAATGACACAAGTATTGAAGATTCGGATACACAAATCGAGAGGTTTCGAAATCCGATAGCAGATAATGATGAAGAACCTACAGTGCGTCATACTGATTCAAATTATGATGACGTTCATCCGGCTACTATTATATGTAATGCGTTACAAAACCAGACGAACGAAAACGGAAACGTCGATACCAAAAGTGCCGAGGCTTCAGGTCTGGACAATGTGTCAATATCTCAACACATTAAAACCGAAGAGCTCGGTAATCCGGGAGAAGATAGACCAAAATTCCAAAGCTTATTTGAAGAACTGGAGTACGTAGAAGGACAAATTGATATTTGGGAAGGACTTCGAGATAAAAAATTAGAACAAATCGAAAAGAAAAGAAAATTACAAGCAGATCAAAAAGCTATAAAAAGATTAAAACGTGATACAGAAAATATAAAGTCAGTTAAAAAAGTTAATATTAGTAATTCACGGAAGTTATCACCTAAAATAGTGCCACCGGTAACACATCATGAGAAAAAAGTCGAAGATACATCAACATCGACTTATCGAAGAAAACCAAAAATAGTTATCACAAAAACCCAAGTTTCAGAAAACCCCACAATAGACATGAGAGATAAGGATATTTATAAGAACTCCCTATTTGATCGGTGGCTTAATAATCAACCGCATGAACATAGTGATGATTCGCTTGATGAATCAAAAGAAAATTTATTTTCAAGATTTCAACGGAAATTCCAGCAAGGAGCAAAAAAAGAACGTGAGTCACGAGAAGATTATGAATCAACAATTCGAAGTAGAGCGCTTGATGATGATTGTAGTGATAGTTCTATACAAGAATTAACTAAAAATATAAAAGGTAAAACTCTAGAAAGGCGTAATACAAAATCGAAAGGGAAGCAACGCGCGGAGCCTATACAAGAAAATTCCACTACTGCTGGTTTTGCCGTAAGATACCCGGTTCGCACAACTAGAAGCAGAAGATGTAGTGATTATGTAACCACTGATCAAGAGTTCGCAGAAATATTACAAAAACTTGGCGCAGAAGAACAAAACCAAGGGCAGGAACAACAACGGGGAGAATCATCACGTGCCCGTATTCCGCCATTACAAATTGATATTAGCGGACAAAAAGCAAGCAATTTTGTGGACAATTCGGGTCGTGTATTAGACCCGATAAAATTTTATGGACATAATACTCCTTTAGGTTCAACTTGGACAAAGGAAGAGCAAACCCAATTTATAGAATTGTTTAAGGCAACACCTAAAGATTTTAATAAAATAGCAGATAATATGACCAATAGAACAGCAGGAGATTGTGCAATATTTTATAAGTATCTCAAGACGGCCAGAACTGAATCAGGAGAGATAGATGAAAAAAAGAGAGGAATTTATAATCGTCTTCATGATATGAAAGTAAAGCCTAAGACAAGAGGTCCAAAACGAGCGGTGAGTCGACGGAATCGCACAAATTTTTCTAGTAATCAAGTTCCATCACCAACACGTACAACAGATACAATCGAACAATCTAGTGTTGGAGGCATAGAATCGGTTGAAAGACCGGAAGATTCATTGCAAGTTTCGCAATTACAAAGCCCTAAGGTGGAAGATTCGGAAGTTACAAAAGAAGCATCAATTAATCATCTTCTTGACCAAGAAGTAGGACAAGCAGCGCTAGCATTAACATTGATGTCGAGACAACTCCTAGAAAATACAGAAAAATCGTCCGAACAAACTTTACCAAAGGTTAAAACATTACCAGTTAATAAAACAGATGGTCATGCAACGCAAAATTACGACTTTCATTCAGGGCACATTCAAACAGATGATTGTCAATCAACGCTCTCGATTGGATCATTGTTGAACCCATCAGATGAATATGATCCGTCCATAAGATGGTTTGAAGAATGACAGGGTTTCGGAAATAAATAAGAAAATATTTATATTTATTGTAAAATGATGTATTTAAATAATTTAAGTAATTTTTTTTTTTTTTTTTTTATAAAAAATTTAGTATATATTTATTATATAATCGAAAGTTTAACAGAATTGTATATATCACAAATTCTCGATATTTATTTATGTTCAATTTTAAGACAATCATAAACTTCAAAAAAAAAAAACTGATTGACCAGTTAAATCTATATTATACTGTATTATATAACAAATATGTTTGTCATTTTTGAACCCCTTTATATTCTTCAGGACCGATTTTAAAAGAATTCACATATCTGCATATCAATGCTACTGTACCTTTAGTTTCCAACTTATAATATGGAACAGGTAATAATAGACCAGTTCCTTTTGTTATTACTGTATTAGGATAACTTTTTAATTAAAGGAGTGATCCACAGTTTTACTGTTACAGATTACATATTTTATTATATATTATATAGTTATTATCATATCAGATATATATATAAAGTGGATAATCTCGTTATCAGGTCGATTTTACCATTTTTAGAACTGGAAAATTGGAAACTTGTCTCTGGCTTTGTGAGAAAGGTTTTCTTAGTAAAATATTATCATTGTAAGCTTTACTTGTACCACAGACTAGCATTTGTAGTCGACCTAAATAAAAATCGGTATATATATGTATCACCCCCTTAATTTATATCAGGTATATCATAAGAACAGCGTACACCAAATTTTTATTCTCTTCAATTGACGTGTTTGGATATAACAGTTGCTTTCATATACAGATTAGAGATGTTACCAGCTCGTTCGGCTCTATTCATTATATACAAGCCGGATCAAGCCGATAACATCCCTAATACAGATTTAATCAACTTATTTTTTTAGAAAAATCGTCAACCGAATTGGCTAAGTCGATTGACCAACGCCAAATCGACTTAAATCATTACTGCGGTCCCCTTTAATAATTAATCATATTTAACGTTAAGTACAGATGATAAATTGCTATCGCAATATAGCAATAGTAATATTAGCAATTAATAATGATTTAGTATTGGATTATGATTTAGCATTGGTATTTTTGGCAATTCTTGTCTAACATCATGTGTTTAATTATCTGCTATGTTAGCGATCTCAGGCTAGGGATGTTAAGTGGTGCGTCTGGTTCGGTCCGGTCCGGTCCCCCCAAAAGTCTGGTCCAGGACTAGTTGAAAACG